ATCCATTGTGTGGAAATCTAGTCACAAACAGGACTATAGATAGGACACGATAAAGTGCGTTTAGACTAGAAGAAAGACGATTTAGTCTAAAGCAAAGGAATTTTTACCGTAAGAACAATAACAATGTGGAATTCGCTGCCTGAAGAAACTTCAACTAGATGCATACTTGCAAAAATAGAATGCCAATGACATGGTTTTTCAGCTGTAGGCCAATAGCTTCTTAATCCAAGAATAAATCTGACTGCCATTCTGGGGTTGAACTTTCCTAGTTTGAAGCATATCCAATTTTTCAACAAACTTCTTTTTGCCTTTTTGATCAACAGCAAAAAACAATGAGGAAGACTGAACTTTAAGGACACATCTATTTTAAGCCTATGTAACTATATCCTTTAGCCATAACTTAAATATCTTCATTGGCAAAGATGGAAAACCAACATCTCATTCCCTTTATTTTGTTTTTAACTACAAGCAAAATTAAGCCCTGCGCTCAAACTCCCACTACACCTGGGCAGCTGCAGTGACTATAATACACATCAACCCCAAGACACAAAAAACCCCCAAAACAAAATTAGATACTAGCGCACTATCCCAAATTCCTATGTACATTTAAATAACTGGAGATTTTTAGTATCACTCCAATGACAATTAAAGTGTAAGCTCATCTGCTACGTCAAGACAAAAAAAACTTATAGGCGATTCCTACATTAACAATTCACCTTGCTGTTTTCAGCTAAAAAGATAAAATCTGAGGCAGAGAGGAGTATTTTTCTAAACCCTTACACACTACTTAATCCTTAAAAGGGAACACATGGGGTTCAATATGCATAGGATTTGTGTTGATATGCAAGTAACATTTGTTTTTAAATAGTCTGAAACCACAATTCAAAGTGTGCCCCTTTTTAAAGTTGAGATAAAGATAAGAACATTGAGGTTAAAATAAATTGCGGACCCCTTTATTATGATCCATAGGTTAGTTTCTCAAGAGTGCACATATATTGTGCTCAGATCTATTACACAATCAAAGAAAGAAAAAAAAAAATGCATTCTGGTGAAGTTTCAAAAATTATTTTATTGCTCTCGATCAGAAAATGTTATATACACATTTCACAACCTATTAAAAATTTGTTTTTTTAATTTAAAATCACTTTAAATCACAAAAATAAAAACCTAGAATTTGCTATTTAAACAAGCATTCGGTTTCTGCTAAAACACACATATTTGCGGCATAAAGTTAAAGTCTGCTAATGTCAAGTTTACGAGTGAGGCTATGAAAATTATTTTTGCTTGTATTGTAAGAGATACTTGGCTAATTACCTAAAAAGGAAACCAGTTACTAAATTGTATATTATATATAAACTGACTTTGAGACCTCCCATGATTTAAAACAAAATAAAAATTATCAGATAACCTCTTGTCTGTAGTTTTTTCCCACATGTCTGATAAGAATAAGGAATAGTAAAAACTATAAATAGATGTAAAAAATAAAAGTTATAAATATAAATAGCGCCACTGAGGATTTACTTAAACAGCCATGCTTCTTTCCCTAGTCTCTAGTATTCAAGAACAGGCTTGGTAATTGGCCCAGCAAGCCTTTAAATAATGAAGACAATTATTCACCCTCTGCCTTAGGATTACATGGCACTTCTATTATACATTTTTAAAAATGTGGTGGTAGAGTAGAAGGAAAAAAAAAAAAAAAAAAGTCCTCAAAACCTATATATCGCCTGTTCCGTTCCCCGCAGTTTTGTTGAGAATAGGCATTTTGCCTGCTGTAAAATCCAGTATTAGGTCACAATCTTAGATGGAGCATGTGCCGAATGATTTTATCTGGAACAGTTGATGACAATGTGTTAACATTATAGTGCAGAAACTATAGGTATAAATTGTGCTGGCATACTTTTCCACTACATACCTTAACAGATCAGATGTAATTCTGAACGAACCACTCCCTTCTGTTCACATGGAGTTCAGTCTATACTTTAACCCAGAATTAAGAAACCTTCAAAGTTGTGGAATACATCTCCCCTGACACTTTGCCAGCATTAAAGGAGATATATAGTCCACAACATCTGGAGTGCCAAAGGTTGCCTACCCCTGCTCTAGGCAATTTAATATCTTACCTCACTGAAGTGAATATAGTGGCAGGCGTCCATGGCTCAGTCAGTCTGTTCAGCGTTTTTGAATTAAGAAACACTGAATGAAGGTGCCCAGCAGTCAGAGTGTAATCTCTGCCTCGAGCATACCTCCAATGGGTGCCTGGGGACTCTGTTCGAATTTTTTTTTTAGAGAAAGTGCCAGGGGACCTAAAAGGCACTGTAGCCACTTCAATAAGATAAAGTGATTATAATGACAAGAGCAAGGGTAGACACCTTTTATCACTCCAGAGTTATGGACTACAACTCCCCATTACTTTGCCAGCATTACAGCTGTAAGAGTATTAAAGGGGATTTAGTCCACAGCAGTGCTAAAGGTGATCTTACTCTTAACCTAGAGTATCCGTTTAAGTGGTTATCTGGGCTGGAGTGCACTTTTAATCTCAATGACTTAATTCACATGCCAGTGCTTCTTACCTGACATACTTGTGTTTTTTGAACAGTGTAATCCTGAAGCTGCCCCCCCCTCAAAGGGTACCCATCCGCACTTCCTCCTCTGCCGTTCTCCTGTTTACTGCACAGACGTTGAGTTTTTGCCTTGAGCCCAGTGATAGTGTTAAGAATGTCAGCTAATGCCTTCAGCCTATCACTTAAGACAGTCTAGCCAGGGGAGAAAGGGTGGAGAGACAAATTCAGTATGAATAAAAGTAAAGTAACAACAACAAAAAAAATTTAAAAAATAAAACAAAACACATGCATGGGGCCGGGCCAAAACACTCTTTTGGCCAATCAGCACCACCTCATCTCTGAGGAAAATTCAGCATTCCCATGCAGCTCGTGGGGACGGTGAACGGCAGAGCTGCCTACTGTGCAGCACTGACCAAGGAAGCACCCGCTAGTGGCCATCTGGGGAGTGGCCACTTGGAGGTGTCCCTAGGGGCAATGTAAACACTGCATTTGCTCTGAAAAGGCAGTGTTTGCATGAAAATGCCTGAAGGAAATTATACTCACCAGAAAAACTACATTAAGCTGTAGTTGTTCTGGCGACTACAGTGTCCCTTTGAACCCATGTCAAACAGAATATTACAGCTAACAATGGACAAGTAACATCTTTAAAAAATTGCCAAACTATTTACAGAACATGATTTCATTCTAACACCCCAAAACAAAAAGGTCATGTATGAGGCATAAAAATCTATTTGGCTTTGTCTTGTATACAATCAATATTTTTTGCTCATGCCACTGTGATAAGTGATGTATGACAGAAAAAGGAAAGGGGACATTATGTACCTGAATTAAAAAAAAAAATGGAAAAAAAACCCCCCACACATTACAATGCATTCTCTTCTGTATCTTTTTGCCATATTTCTAGCAGATATTCATTCTAATACAAATATATAAGGCCAATAAGGACATTTTATAAGATATAAACCTTAATGACTGACTTTCTATGTATTTAATGGACCAATAAATAGTGGGGAAGAAAATAAATAGGTGCTTGCCAGTTGCAGGCAACTCTGCTAGAGCCCAGATTGTAAAAGAAGGGGTGACAAGGGGAAACGTGTTTGCTAGCCTTTCACAAAGGGTTGAAAATGGTAATTATCCTGAGAATTGTGGGAAATAGTAGTTCACTTGTACAGCAGCTTCACTAAAGTGTGACTTGTTGGAAATTAAAAGTGAATTTCAAACTTTAGGCTAAAGTAGTCAAAATGGAAATTTCTCCAAGTCAGTGGGAGTTTGGCTACTTCTAAATTCCTGGCAATGCACATTTCAGTGAGTAAATAATGTATTTACACTAAAGCCAATACATGCTAAAACAGAGGTTAATGGAATAAAAACATTTGCACAAAAAAAAAAAGGACTGGGTGCACGCATTGTACTGAACATGCAGCTGTATAAAGTTTTCCTATATAATTCTGGCTGTATGTCAAAGCAAATCAGTAGTTTTATAAAACTTTCAGGATACAGAGGACATTCTGAAAAGCACCCCAAATAGTGAAAATGTTGTGCTAAGCTACATATTAATACAAAAATATACAATATATCCAAGTGCTGGGAAAGATCATATTATCATAAAGTCAAACAGATACTATCCGTTACAATTGTACAAGAGAATCTAACAAAATACAAAGCTGGGGTTAATTTGAAACCTTTTCGTACCAAAATAAAATGCTGAAAATGTACAGATTAAAAAAAAGTTTTTTTAATAATAATAATAAAAATAAAAAAAAAGAAGTCATGGCTGCTCATGTTGGCCAAGTGAAGGTCTAGAAGGAAAAATATAAATAAAAATCAACTGAATGCATACTTTTTTCTTTAGTGCCACTCAATTTGAACATGCTTTAAAGAACCACTCACTCATTAATTTGAAATTACACGTTTTCCAATGTCGTCATGGTTTTGTAAGACCATACAATTTCAACTACATATCACACGAAAGGGACTGATGAATTACAGAATGTTATGAAGTCATTATTTTAAATGTATAACAAAAAGTGCTCCGTTTTTCAGCTATGCTGTGAAATGTCCTATTATCAAAGTCTGATCTGTACAAAGAATGACAATATTCATTTACCCCCTTTAAAAGAGAGCTGTACAGAACATCCTATAAAGGCAACATGTCCCATCTCTCAAACTTTAAAAATGTTTTCACAGCTCCACAAAATGTTAAGAGCTGTGACAGTTAGAGGGAAAACAAGTTGCACTGGTTTCACTTAACTGCTAATGAGACAAATGAAGCCATGTGCCAATCTTTGAATCTACTTTGAAAGGGGAGAGAGTTAAAGGAAAAAAAAACAAAAACCCACAAACAACTTACTTCACATAAAATAGTAAAAAATGTAAAGACAAAAACAAAACACAAATACAAAAAACAAAACCCATGACTGTATGTTAAAGTCAGATCGGCTAATGGTATGGGCTGGTTTGTGTCTGCGGTGTCTGGCTTTCCAACCTATGTGATGGAATGTGCGGTGTTATGAAGAGTCCATGTGTTGCTGGAAGTGGGGTTTCCTCTGTTTCCAATTTTAAATTTGTGGGTTCTGTGCCTTGTTCTGGAGGTGCCATGTTAGAGGGATCTTTTTCAGAAGCCTGCTGGTCTTCTTTATTGGAGCTGTACTGCTTAAGCCGTATGTGCCATGCCAAGCTGCATACAGCAGATACAGTCTTAAACTGATGGATTACGTTGCGAGGTATGAAATAAATATCATTGTCACACAGTTGGATGCGTGCATAACGGATTCCCTCCCGTCGCATTTGGTTGAGTTTTGCTTCATCCACCCACTGAACGCACTGACAACAGAAGCAAAAATAATTTTATTACATCAACCCAATATGTTATAAATTTTCACATATTGCAAATTGAGAAGAATCACATTGCACATTTATAAATAAAGGAGTGAAAGAGGAATTGCTTAAATACCATTGCTCATTACATCTGAATTTCTGCATTTATGATTTTCCATCTCAGTTAGAGGAGATGCAAATTACAGATGCTCCAGCTTGCACGGTCAGCAGAATCTTGACACATTAACTCTAATCTGGACTGTAGCCTAGAAAATGTTTTCTATCCATCATGTATAGTGAATGCAGGCACTGTGAAGATCCATGCCCCCACAATTGATATGTGTATGTAAAATATTCTTGTATAGCCAGAGGCGGAGCAGTGGTAATACAGAGTACATTATGAACATAATCAAAACACAAATGTTCACTCTGCTGATCACAGAAAAGACTGGCCTTTAAATGTACCCTTGGTAATCCCATTTTCAATGCAGAGAGATGAACATGCAAATCATCAATTAGGTTTTCCTATGTAAAAGTAACATGTTTGAGAACATTCACTGCACCTGAGAAACCGGAGGTTCATGGAGATCCAGCTGTAGCCTTTGCACAACATGGGAAAAGTCCTCAGCATGGAAACATATCACATCTTTGGTTATGCGAGGTTGATCACTCCTAAAGTAAGTAAAAAGCATGTCAGTTTAGAATACATATAAGTGTTGAAAAACATGGCCAGGAACCTTTGTAACATTTAAATGGACACTACAGTCTCCATAAAAACATAAATGAAGCAGTTTTGGAGTATAGCTCATACTTCCGGAATCTCACTGTTCAATTCACTGCCATTTAAGAGTTAAATTACTTGTTTGTTTATCCAGCCCTAGCCACACCTCACCTGCTGTGACTGGCACAGCCTGCATGAAAACAAAATGGTTTCATTTTCAATTAGATGTAACTTACTTTAAAGGTTTTTACCTCCTGCACTAACTTACACTTTAATTACATACAGGAGGATCATGTAGCATTGTCTAGCAAGCTATTAACAGCACAGGAGGGAAGACATTCTAAATGAAACAACATTTGCAACAAAGGAAGCGTAAACATTATATCTCACTTTACATGAAGTCTTTAGGACATGCAGGGAGGTGTGTGCCTAGGGCTGCATAAACAAAGTGATTTAACTACTAGAGAATTGAGCAGTGAGACTGCAAGGTGACAATCTATACACCAAAAATGCTCCATTAAGCATAAATAACCCCCCCCCCCAAAAAAAAACCACCACACTTTGGTGTTACTTTTCCAAGTGTTCATAAAGTAAGAAATTTGCAACGTTTCAAGCAGAAGCACTGCACAGAGAAAACCACACTTTTGTGTCAGGGGACTACTGGAAAAATTAACAATATTCTCAAAGCCTTTGATAGTAAATCAAGCAATCTGTAGATGTTATGTTGCCTAAAATGTTCCATTAATAAGCTTTTTGAAATACAGATCAATACAAATATTCACAAAACCATGTTATTTTGCAACAAAGCCAAACCTACCATTCTCCAAACTGCACAGCCTTCAATACACCTACAGCAGCTGTACTTTCCCAATCAAAACCTTGGCCAACATGATCAGCATGGGCTCTTGTCCTATCCTCAAAGAGAACTTCACGTGGTTCGCTAGTGCGCGGCAGGTACTGCAAGTTCTTTATTTCATTCATCGACCTATTAAAAAACAAAAAAAAAAAAAAAACCAGCTATTAAAATAAAAAGCTGTAAATAGAAAATTTTAAGGGAAACTCCAGACATTTCCCCTCGCCTCCGTCTGATTACAGTAAATGCAGATTTTAATAGAAATTGGCACCCTTGTAAATGTACCTTGTTACACTACACTGGCTCAGTGGAGGCAACTGCACAGATCACTTGCAATGCAAAAATGTCTCATTCACCTGCATTGACAAGTCTGATTGGCCAGCCACAGAAATCTGGCTTGGGAAAGAAGGGAAGGGCTTGCAAAGACTGCAGACAAGATATCTGTACATTTCAGGTGTACCCCCAATAAAAGCATGCATAATTAAATGCACACATTTCCATTAGGTATATCTACTACACAGCAATTTGTTTTTATATTTCAGCAGTATGATATCTAAGAAATTTGTTCCATTTAATATATATTTGCATGATATGGAACTGAACTAAAATACAGAGCTGAAGTTGATCTACAACATTTATGTATAAGAGACAGTGAAGTCCCACCAATGTGATCGACCGATATTCTGTACATTTACCGTTTTGAAAAAAAGAAAAATTTCTACTGTTAACTGAACAGGTTTACATTTTTTTTTAAAAAATGTTTAAGTGGTAAATGCACAAAATATACATGCCAGTCAGATTTTATTAGATTTTTATTAAAGAATATTTAGTGTTCCCCTACCTTCTCCTCACCTCCCCGCCCACATACATAGTGTACCTCTCTCCCCATCTCCCTTAGTAGTCTTCTCCCCTCACCTCCCCTTCCTGTTCCTTAGCATCTTCTCTCCCTCCCTGTCCTTTAATGCCTCTCCACCCCCCTTAGTGGTTCTCTCCTTTCCCTGGTGTGCCTTATTACCTGTCTTGTAGTTTCAGTTTCCTGTACCCTGCCGGACTGAGAGGAAGTGCTCTCAGTAAGCACATCCAGTGGATCCAGCTGGGTACAGGAAACTGAAGCTCCTGTACTTCGGTCTGCTCGGCCAAGCTACACCGAGTGACTGGCAGGAGGGAGCGCGGTGTCTCTCCTGTCAGTCACTCTATTGTTGCGCCCCCATAAACTGTGCACCCCAAGGCAGCCGCCTGTGCCGCCCTATAGACGCGCCGGCCCTGCGCCACCAGCACCTCTCACATTATCGGTATAAAGTGGCAGATACTGATATTTGCCAAAATCCGGAATATAGGCTGAACCGATAATCAGTCTAACCCCAAAAAGGATACGGTCATGCTCCATAAAATTCTCTCGATCAACACTCAAAACGCCTTCACTGCCTCATTTCTTTACACATCAGTAGTGCATGTTTAAATATTACGCGTTACACTTTTTTTGGGCCGTATGTTAAATTCTTTATTTAGTAACTAGAATATATATATGCAACTACATGCATTAAAGGGTTGAATGTAATCCTTTCAGTGACAGAGCACGACTGACAGGTCTAGGTCTATTTACTAAAGGGAGAATTGTTGGGAATGCAAAGTGAATTTTAAAATTTAATGCCAAAATTTTTTAAAAATAAACCCAAACTTGGAAAATTCTCCAAGTCAGCTATGCTTCCAGAAGATAGGGGGTTATAGGTAGAAGGTAGCTATGCTTCCAGTTTAACAGGCATATCTTGTGGGACTGAGACTTGTCTCATCATACTTTGTGATCAGATTATTAGGATTTAATTTGGCAGTGACATAAAAAGCCATGCCAGTTTAAGAACTCTTCATTCTTGAGCCTATTTTACAACTTAGATTTTGTTGCGTCTGGTATATTTTATTTCTTTATTTATAGAAACATTGCATGCACCATAATCACTACTGTAAGTAGTGGAGGCTGGGAGCAGCGCCAGGCAAGTCCCATGTAATAAGAAACTGCTCTTACAAAAAAAAAAAAAAAAAAGAAAGTTTAACTCCTAAGAATAGGGATAGTGAATGCCTGGCACCATAATCACTAACACATGCACAATGTAGTGGTTATGGTGCAAAGAGTGCAGCTGTATGCTCACTTTATTATTATTGAGAGCAGTAGGAAGGGTTTTGAGATTTTGGAAGACATACAGGGACATATAGAACTATTTAGGACCTGGTTATTGGGTACCACCTGTCCGGTTTGGGGCAAAGCAGTGGAGAAAAGGATATGGATAATATACAGCAAAGAATTCCAAGCTTGACCAGTCTTACCTTCTGCGTTTGAATGGGGATTTTGGCATGTCTGCAGTAGGAATCATTTGTTCCCCTGGTCTCACCCACATAATTGGGCCATCATCACTTTGTGATCTGCACTGGAGTTTAAGTGTAGACATGGTTCCCCAAGGCAACGTCATCTGTAGGCACCAAACAACCAAATTAAAAAATAAAATAAAATAAAAAAGCCACAACTGGAAAATGTAAAAAGATATCATGTATAAATAAAAGCCAATAAAACAGAACCAATCTAGAATGACTTCTATATTCCAATGAGAACTGCAAACTATACAATGTGGGAATGTAGACAACTGCAGCAGTTAACAGCTCTGTACTGAATAGCAAAGTACAAATGAAATTCTTAAAACAGATACAAAGTAGTTAGTTCAACATACTGAATAAGTTTAATACTTCTTTAAAACGGTCACTATATAACAAAAACAAAAAAAAACAAAAATTACACATGAAAGGATAAAGTTTTTTTTGTCTCCCCAAACTGTAGAGATTACATAAGGGAATGTGTATAATGAAGGGCAACAGAAACAAAAAACGGAAACTATGCGCAGAAGAGATTTCCTATACAAGTGATAAGGATTAGGACTCGAAGTGAAAAGCATAACATTACTCCAAAGTAAGAACGGAGAATGGATTAGCTGGCAAAGCAAATAGAACTTTGTTCACTAGAAGCACTGTTACACTTGACAGCATTAATTTCCGTGCTATGCAGTCAGCACAGATCTAATCTGAGAAACAACGTACTGCAGGATGTTGTGCACTAAATGTCATGAACGTGTTTCGCAACCTTTTACAGAGATTTTTCACCCCATAAATATCCCCCAAGCCTGTGAATGCATATTTAAGGTGACCGTAAAATGATATGAGAAATATGAACTACATTAAAGTACAATAGGTATTACCAATATGTATAATCACATACTTCAACTTAAATAAACCTTGCCATGTATAGAATTTATGGAGAAAGCCAGGCTCCAAAAACAATCAGTTGCAAGCACTCAATGCTGAAAATTTACACGTGTCCTATGTTGGTTTTAAGTGGCACTAAAGCTTTTTCTAATAAGGAAATACAAAGGGGGGGGCGGGGGGGAGGAAACAAAAAACAAAAAACCCTCACCTGTATTTATTTAATAGACTAAACTAGCAGCCCCTTCAATATTGCACTCAGCCCAGTTAAAGGACCACTCTAGGCACCCAGACCACTTCAGCTTAATGAAGTGGTCTGGGTGCCAGGTCCCTCTAGGATTAACCCCTTTTTCTATAAACATAGTTTCAGAGAAACTGCTATGTTTCTAAATGGGTTAATCCAGCCTCCAAATCCTCTAGTGGCTGTCTCATTGACAGCCGCTAGAGGCACTTGCGTGCTTCTTTCTCACTGTGAAAATCACTAGGCTGTAAGGTCCTCAAAAGGACCACAACTCTGAGTGCATTTTACCCACAGATGTATGCTTGAATTTATTTTTTTAATTTTGTTTCTTGGGTTTATTTATTTATTTTAACCATATTCAGGCTTGGTTACACTGGCAAAGTGCTAAGTCAGAACGAAGATATGTTCTGCCTGGGCCTGGGCCTGAATGGTCACAGAAAGATGAACACTGAAGGCTGTAGGACTCTTTGTGGCCTCTTTATACAGAGTTCCATTTGTGGAATATCATCTAAGACCTCTCCAAGTAGCATTTCCCAGACTATTACATTAAGATCACTTGAAGCTTGTTCATGCCGACCATCAGGTTCAGAAATACTTACAGTGACAAGTCTCTTAATAGAGCATAGCTCCATGCACATTTCCATTTAGCTTAGATTTTGTCAAAGCCAGTTTAGTATAGTAAGACTCGAAACTACACATTTTGTTAAAGGAACAATATAGGGTCAGGAACACAAACATGTATTCCTGAGCGTTTAGTGCTAAACCCATCGTTAAGGTGGCTTGCCCTTCCCCCCCCCTCCCACCGTTAGCCCCCTTAAAAGCACGAAAAACTCCCATTTCCAGCGCCGTGCAGGTCTGCCAGCACTTGTCCCCGTCCCCTTTGTGACATTAGAATTGCTTATTAGCCAGTCCAATGCTCTAAAAGCATTGCATTGGCTAAAATCGGCAAGGGGCGGGGCCAAATGCAGTTTTGGCCAATCAGCACCTACTCATAGATATGCATTGAATCTATGAGGAAAATTCAGCCATGGGGGCGTTGAACGGCAGAGCTGGCTACTGTGCAGCACTGAGCCAAGAAGCACCTCCAGTGGCCATCTGAGGAGTGGCCACTTGGAGGTGTCCGTAGGGGCAAAGTAAACAAGGTCTTTTCTCTGAAAAGGCAGTGTTTGCATGAAAATGCATGCATATAATGATTATACTCACCAGAACAACTACATTAAGCTATAGTTGTTCTGGTGACTATAGTGTCCCTTTAAAGAAATACATCATGGATATTTGATCAAATTCAAGAATTAGAAAAAAGCAGTCTAGGACTCAGAGTGCATGAGAAAACATGTATCATGTATATAGTGAGACTATACACAGCATGAAGAATTTTAAAAACCTCTAAACTGAGGAATAAACATGAAAACTATACTTTTAAAAGGGGGAGAGAAGACATGCCACAAAACGACAGTCAACTGCAATAGTAAGGAGGCACACCTCATGGACAAACTTACGGCACAAGTCTGAGACACATATCCACAATTTCTCAAAACCTGGAAACCCTGGGAGGACTATACTAACCGTTGAAGGGTGCTGAAACACGCCAATGAACCTTCCCATCCCCCCGACTGTGGTAGACCACCTTCACTCTCCTCCCCCCTCTCCTTTCCGTAATAGGTGAAACGTGAAAAGTGGGATCCTTTGAAGCTACTTAACATTGTTTTTATAGTTTTTGTTTAAATAGTATATTTTACATTTATATACTCATTTTTTAATCTACATTTTTACTTCCTGGCACCATCATATCCCTAGGTGGGGATTATAGCACCCATGCTGTATACACTAGAGCAAGTTCTGCTCTAGTAAATGTGAGTACATTACTTTCTTTTTTATATTTTATGGTACTTACTTCACTATTGGAGCATTATTTTGTGTTTTTACATATCCACTGCATATCGCATCCTATTTGAGATACCAGAGACGTCTTCTTCCACATATATCCTTAGACTGGGATTGTTCCGCCGTGCACATTACAGCAGAGCTCTAAGATAGCTCTATCAAATGTGAGTGATATCGCATAAGATTATCTCAGTATCTCACTGAATATACCATAATGCACTATTGTATTTCTCTGTTTTTATCTTTGAGTTCAATTGTGTATACAACTCTAAAAAGATCTGTGTATGTATAGAATTTTATATATTGCTTGGGGCGCGGTCTCCTATTTTCTTTGACACTTTATCATTCACAAGGCGGGGAATCCTTGTATTGGTTACTGCTGCCCACAATCATGCTGTGTAATACTGTAGCGAGCGCCTTTCACACCGTTTTCAATGTTTAAGCATGACTTGATAAAGAATAAAAAAAAAACTATTACACAACTTAGATTTTTAACTGTGTGGGCCCAGTCTGAGAGAAGAAATATAAATGTTGGGGAAAAAAAAAAAAAAAGTTGGCAAGACAAACCTCTCCATAGAGTGGATAACCAGCAAATTGTGGATGTGGCTCACATGACAAAATCCTACCAGTGGTTGGAAAAGACAGGACAGACATTAATCCTAGCAGGACAGGAACAGGCACTCCACACCAGATCAACAGAAGCGAGGGTCTACCACACCAAGTAAGACCCAAGGTGCAGACTGTGCAAAGAGGCCTCTGAGACAATCCACCACATAGTGGCCTGTTGAAAGATGTTAGCAGGAACAGCATACACGGAGAGACACAACCATGTTGCTGGAATAGTGTAGACTCGTAGAGTGTATAAGTCCAGATGGAGATACAACAAAGGTTAGTTGAGTAGGACAGGGCTAAGATCCTGTGGGACTTCCAGACAGACAAGCAAATACTGACCAACCAAGATGACATCATGGAGGTAGAAAAGTAACAGAAGACTGCAGTGGTGGTGGATGTGGCAATACCCAGTGACCATAACATCAGGAAGAAGGAACATGAGAAGATGGACAAATACAAAAGGACTGAAATAAGAACTAGAAAGGATGTGGAAAGTGAAGGCAGTAGTAGTCCCAGTTGTCATTGGAGCACTCTGGGCTGTGACTCCCAAGTGTGGGAGTAGCTTCAACAAATTCCAGGTGGGACATCCAGAAGAGTGCAGTTTTAGATACAGCTAAGATACTACAGGGGACACTCAGACATTGAAGAATAAACATTCCCCTGCAGCCCCCCAGATGGGGAGAGAAAATACACCCACAAATACATGAATAAGACAACAGGGTACTACAGGTTTCAGCAGAAAATAATTCAGGGCTTCACTTATCAAATTCATTCCTCCCAGTGCCATCAGTCAGAATGGTGTGCAAGGAAAACAAGTGGTGTTCTGAAGAGTCTATACCACTAGATTTTAGAAAGAAATAAAATCAGCCTCTATTTCATTTGCTAAAATGCAAAGAAAAGAAATACATCATATAGAAATATAAAGTGAAATAACTTGCGTAGAGCAACCTGGGCACTGTAGGTTGGCAATAACAGGCTCCTTCATTTCTGAGCTTAATGTATTTAACTTTTCTTATCGACCCACAGTGCCAAGGCTTCATTATGCAAATTGTTTTGGCCCATCACATATTTCTGAATCATGTTTCTATTGGAACATTTCAGCAATATAGAATTAAAGGGCGATTCTAGAGAGACATTGAAGTTAGAAAAACACACACACACACACACTTACTTGAGGACACTTACTTTTAAAAATGGTGATTCTTCCAACATATCCAGAAACTCTGGGAAAAAGTCTCCAACCTCTTCATCAACAGCTCCAACTAAACTAATTTGCCGCATTGGACCTGCTCTGTATGTGCCACAGCAATATGTCCTGTTCACCTGTAACAAGCACCAGAGAAAAACTTGGTAAACAAAAAGCAGATAGCAAGTTGATAATTTTTAATGTTTAGTAGACACGCCCTCACCGGTCAGATGGCATGTGGGAGCATCTGGAGGTTTACAACTTCCCATAGGATTTTAGATTATGTCACCATTTCCATGTGGCAGATGACTAGCAAGTGCTGGTTGGCCACCACAGATTTAACCCGCAACAGGATTTCAATTTTTTTTTCTTCTCTTAATTTGCCCAGCTAGAGTGGTAAACTGGCAAACTGATTTCATATTATCATCCACATGCATTTGTTTTATCAGCCGCCATGTGGCCACTAATAAAAATCTGATTAAATCAATATAAGATTTTCTGAATGAATGTTACAGATTCCTGACTGTATTTGGCTTTAATAAATCTGCAAATTGCCAACACGGTTGGAAGTATTTAATTTTTGCCATATTTCGTCAGTTTGGAAAAATAATCTGGTGTTTAGTGATTAAACCAAAAGGGACTTTAAATTGCAAGGTAAAAGTAGCAGACATAGTAGCAATTTTTAAATTGGTTATGGTTTCAGTTTAAGTTCTTTGGTGTTAAATTTTTACTTTTTTTGGAAGGCAAGGCATTGACCAGAACTTGACAGAAAAGCAGAAAAATGGCAAGTAAGACGACCATTTTTGGTTATTTCATAAAAAGAGGTATGCGCAAGAAAAGAGTCTAGCACCATCTAGTGACAATCTGAAAACTCACATCTTAAAATTTCCACTTTAGGTGAGTGAGCCATTAGTGAGTGACAAGTGTCGAGTAACTTAAAAACTGAGTCCTAAAGAACTTTAGGTGGCTGCAATGCGATGGGTGTATAGAGCACATTCTTATTTTACAAAAAGTGCAGATTACAATAGAAGTTGGCACTTTTATAAATTAACCTTGTTGCACTTCCATGTGTTCAAAACAGACAAAGTTGTTACTTCCTGGTTGTTTCTCAGTGGAGCTAAACTCAAGAGGCAGGAATTGCCCACAGCATCTGCCTTGCAAAGTCAGCTCACTGAGTTGCATTGGGAAGTTTGTGATTGGACATACACAGAAAAGGTGTGGGCTGGGGAAGAAGGGGGAAGGCTTGCAAGCGTTTTTTAGATATAACCCCATTAAGACATGACTAGTAGTGTAGAACTTGAAACGTTAAGCCTTAAACGAGACATTTACCATCCCTCCCCCCTCCACTTTGATACCAGAAACTGTAGGCAAAAAAAGTTTACATTCAAACACTGGCAACAGAATTTTATTCCATGTAAAATTTAGAACCAGACAAAAGTACAACCATTCTTATCTAGATTCTTGGTAGTGTATAGTATCTTGAAGACAATCGGATTTTTAAACCAAATTTTCAAATACAAGCAGACAAGTAAGAAACTTTTTCTATTGAACCCAGAAACCAATCCATACGATAAACGTCAACTAGATTATGTATCCAGGGAGGGGGAGGATTTCTAGATATGAGGCCAACTGGGAGCTGGAGTACTGTGATGCAAATATGGTCAATAACTGGTACAACTGTGGCTTACAGGTATGCCGTCATGTGCTAGCCAGCTATGCAAGATCTGAGCCAAGATCTATTTTTAAGGCATATAGAGCGAGACATATTGTTGGGCTCAGCCCTTGCTAGTTTAATCTATGTTTCCAGAATGGTAAAACCTTGAACAGGTACGATACATAGTATTCAAGGCAAGCGAGGTTGCCCCCCCTCGCCAGGATCCGCCACTGAGTGCAGATATGAATTGGCCACTTGGTTGCAAGGATGACAGAAGGGGTAGTGTGAATTGCATAGGAATGTAAAAGGGGGCAGATTGTTTGCAGATTATTGATCCCTTGATTAAAGAGACACTCCAGGCACCCAGACCACTCCTGCCCATTGCAGTGGTCTGGGTGCCAACTCCCACTACCCTTAACCCTGCAAGTGTAATTAGTGCAGTTTTTCATAAACTACACTAATTGACTAACAGGGTTAAGTCCTCCTCTAGTGGCTGTCTATGTGAAAGCCTCTAGAAGAGCTTTCGGGTTCTTAAAACACTGTTTTAAGAGATGCTGGACGTCCTCACGCAATGCATGAAGATCTCCAGCGCCGCCGGAATCCCCAAAGAAAAGCATTCCTATGGGGCTGTGTAGTGCGTGCGGCAATTGCCGCGCATTAGGTCTCCCCCGCCGGCGGGGGAGGAGAGTTGGCAGAGGCTGACCCAGAGCCAAGGGACATCGGCGCTGGATACAGGTAAGTCAATGAAGGGGTTAACCCCCTCAGCAACCTGGGATGAGAGGTGGGAGGGCGGTTTGTTTTCTTGGCACTGGAGAGTCCCTTTAATCAAAGGCTCTGTAAGGTGTTAGAAGTCACACATAAGTGGCCTGGAAGTCTAGCTCCAATGTAAACTCTCTTTTCAGCCATATGGCCTCTACCTTTTAATTGACTAGTGGATTTCACTGATATGTTAATGATCATTAGCTTTCAAGAATTCTCCCCCTCTCCTCCCCCCCCCCAAAAAAAACAAACAAAAAAACAACCAAGCCTCGTGTTTCAGAATCATATCCAAAAGAAAGAAACTTTAATATTTACCCACAGATTAATAATTAAGCCTCATATTTGTTATATTTGGAATGTGGCAGGCGCCATCTTCCAAACAAGCCCAAACAGGATTGGCATTACTTAAGTAAGAAGTGTGACATATCTATGGAATGCAGAAATGGTAAATTCATAGAGGCAATTATTTCTGTGTCAAGTACGAAAGAGGAGATAGAAGGAAGTGTTTCTATTTGGATTCCTTTTGGTCTGGGACACAAGGGGGTGGTCACTTATGGTGTCTATAGATACGCCTTAATCCACAGGGTAGATCTCCAATGATGATACTGAAGAGTGCATTGTACTTGCTTGAGGGGCCAGAATCTAATTCTAAGTAAGTCACCATCTTTCTTACCAGAGACCCCCTGGGCCAGAAGTTTTACTTTAAAAAGCTGAGTAAGTGATTAGGACTTCTGTTGTTTTATCCCTTGTGTTTTTATCTGTTGTTGGTGTAAATAATTTATCATCTATAATTTTTGTATGCACTGTGACTATTTTTTGCTCATAATAAATCTCTTTATTAAGTTCTGCCTTTGTCTGGTAAAGAATCAAGTTACCTGAAGAACAGAAAAGCAAAACATTACTACCTATAAGTGTGTCATTTCTTCGTGAGAGGGGTATAAAAAAAAAAAAAAAAAAAAAAATATAACTGGATCCTCGTAAATACAAGCTACTAAGCTAGCAGTAAGGATCACTAGTGCCTTTGAGGGCACCCCTTAAAGGACCACTATAGTGCCAGGAAAACACTTGTTTTCCTGGCACTATGGTGCCCTAAGGTTGCCCCCACCCTCAGGGACCCCCACCCGCCTGGCTCTGGAAGTGGGAAAGGGGTTAAAACTTACCTTTTTTCCAGCGCTGGGCGGAGAGCTCTCCTCCTACGATCCTCCTCGTCGGCGGAATGCGCACGCGCGGCAAGAGCTGCGCGCACATTCAGCCGGTCACATAGGAAAGCATTCATAATGCTTTCCTATGGACGCTGGCGTGCTCTCACTGTGAAAATCACAGTGAGAAGCACGCAAGCGCCTCTAGTGGCTGTCAATGAGACAGCCACTAGAGGAAATAGGGGAAGGCTTAACCCATTCATAAACATAGCAGTTTCTCTGAAACTGCTATGTTTATGAAAAAAATGGGTTAACCCTAGAAGGACCAGGCACCCAGACCACTTCATTAAGCTGAAGTGGTCTGGGTGCCTAGAGTGGTCCTTTAATAAAAATTTGTTTCTAAACCCTCCCCTTCTACTAATGCTGCTGATAGAAAATAAACTATTTTGCTGAGTGGTAGGAAGAGAAAGGCATTCCACCAATAAAGGACAGTCAGCTTCTTGACTTACAGACGCTATAGTATTATAGTGTCGATTAGCCGTTAAGGATCGCGGAGAGTGAAAAACCGGCACCACTAATGTTTCAAGTAAGCGTCCTAAGCCCCTGATGCGCGCATTTCGCCAGCTTAGCTCAGATGGTAACCAGACATAGGCAAGTATTGGTGTATTTAAATGTTAGAATCGTTAGGGATTGGTTGAGGATTTCTGTGTTAACCAATGATAGCTATCCTGAGGCTTATCTAAAGATGATGTTGATTTTGGTTAACCCTTTCATTACTTGTCTGGAGTGGACAGAAATCAATAAATGAAAGTTTAAAAGTTTCTTTTAATGTTTTATGATGAAATAAGTGAGTAGTTTGCTACTCTCACAAATCTTTGTAAATATGCTTGTGTTATTAGAACAGATAGATGTTTAAATATATTATATTCTAGTGTTTCCTCAGATGTCCTAAATGATGAGATATGAGATTTAGTTTACTAATCTCATAGCAGTGTTTTAATATAGTAGTTTTTAAAGTCTTGGTTAGCTGCTCTCAGATTTTTTTTTTTAAATATGGTCATTGTCGTAGTTGGAACTATCTTTCATTGTGATCTATCATCATCAGAATTCTTAATGCAAGCATGTCTATTAAACTATGCACTACAAAAAAAAAAAAAAATTATATATATATATATATATATATAAAAATTTGTAGTGCATAGTTTAATAGACATGCATGCTTGCAATTATACATAATTGTTAAATTATGGATAAATGGTGTAAAATTAAAGGTAGGGATGCACCGAAATTTTCTGCTGAAAATGGGTCTATCTTGTTTCGGCGCATCCCTACATTTAATTTTACACCATTTATCCATAATTTAACAGTTATGAATAATACCATATTCACATAACCTAGTACATAGCTACCAATTCTAACAATGATACTCCCTTACACGTGACAGCAGAATACATTCTGCAAACAGCCTTATAAATCTCTCACCCCTGAACATACAGGCAATGTAGGGGTTAATTAAGTGTTCTTGCATAGCAAGACCACTTAATGTTATCTCACATATATATTATTAAGTGTTCTTGCATAGCAAGACCACTTGTTATCTCACATATATATTATTATAGCCAAATTTGCCACCCTAACTCCTCCCACAGTTTTTACACTACATAGACAAACAAACATTTACCAAAACGTGCAGATTGTTCCCGATCGGATTGCTATTACTTTGTGGAACGTTTGGCCGAATGGTTCACGGAATATCGTCGTTCTTGTGGCAAAATTTGTCCCATAGGAATGAATGGCAAAGCTAGAGTGGGAGCTGGCAAAAGCTGAAAAATCAGGACATGATTTCTAAACTGCCACCACTCCCTTATTTTCAGGCCCACCTACACAAATCTTATATCAAAACGTTCAGCTATCCCTGCTACCACTAAACATGTCAACGGCTAAGCCATAGTCCTGATAGTTTTCACAATATAATCATTTGTTTGCAACTAATGCCGTCCATTGACATTCATTGAAACTTCACTCTGCAAAGCTCAAATATGAAGTGCAATTTCTAAACTGCGACTGTGCCTTCATTTTTAATACTTCAGAGACATACTATGCATCAAAATGTAGGTCTTTGTCTTGTGATTCTCACAATATAAATACTCTGACCTGCAGCAGCAAGTGATGTCATAGACAGGGCCTTTTGAACACCTGCTAATGTTGTTATAAATGTATGGTTTAATGTAACTGTGCAACAACGTTGCAATTAAATGTGCTATATAAATGATAACAGTTACTCCGCCCACTCCAGTTGTAGACTACTGGTGGAGGCAAGAACACTTCACACAATTTCCCCAGAAATTGTAGCTTTCTAGTTAGATATATAAAGCTATGTAGGGGTAATATTTATATTATGCTTAAGTGTGGGTGGTGTTAAGGGGGATTTTACCATTATTTTCCGGTCTAGTGCAGACAAATAGTGTGCATTAACAGTTTCACCACCACAACTACGTCATGCAGACTTTAAAGAAAGCTGCACCATAAGCCAGAACCTTTAGGTACATCCCGTACTCCAGAAATACTTCCTTATCCAAAATAAAATAAATAAATAAAAAGGATATGCGCACAGCTCAGCCATTGACAGTACTGAATAATCTGAACAACCTGCATTAGGAGGAGAGGGTAGCCAGTGAATTATATAGTACTGATATCACTACTCGTGAGTGCAGTTTGGGCTGAGCTATGTGCATTCCTTTGAAAAGGATGGCTTTCTGGCACGAGACCTGCAGCTATATAGATCCAGGCTTAAGGTGTAGCATTCTGCAAAAACAACATTTACTTATTTAGTGATAAAACTAAGATTTGAGCGTTCAAAAAAAAACTATAAAGATTAGGATGCAAAACAAACCCCCCCCCCCCCAGAATATGGGTCCACAATAGAGAGACTGCAGACATTTAAAGAGGCACTCAAAGCGAAAATATCACTAAAGCAAGCTGGTGCCAGCCCCCAGTCCTGACAAACTGTGGCTTTTCCCAAGAAAAGCACCCTCTTTGCTGCACTTACACGGTAGAATTTTTACCTCCGCATTATTTTAAGTTTCATTAAAATGTGCTGGATTTGAATGAACAGGTCAAAATCTGACACAGGGTCAATATAAGCTCTCAAAAACATTTTAAAGAAAGAACGATAAATACGGTCCTTTCCAATGTAGTGATTCATTTTAAGCATACGATGAAACCTAATTCCACAATAGTAACAAAGAGGTTTTTCTTCAGCTTTTACAGGTCTTCCAACAGCAAGAACAGGTTCCCTGCTAGCCCCAGGGATGCCAAGGTACATTCTGTGGACCACCTCTAATTTAAAGGACCACTATAGTGCCAGGAAAACATACCGTATATACTCGAGTATAAGCAGAGTTTTTCCAGCACATTATTTGTGCTGAAAAACCCCAACTCGGCTTATACTCGAGTCAAGGTCTGTATTATGGCAATTTACATTGCCATAATACAGACCAGTACAGCCAGGCTCATTACAATTATATTATTTTTAATATTTGCATTATTTTTATTTTTTTTTGTCCCCCCTCCCTGCTTGTTGCCTGGTCAGGGAGAGGGGACAAAAAACAATTTTTAAAAAAAAATAATGCAAATATTAAAATAATAATAAAATAATATTTTAATATTATATTTTAATATTTGCATTATTTTTTTAAAAAAATGTTTTTTTGTCCCCCCTCCCTGACCAGGCAACAAGCAGGGAGGGGGGGACAAAAAAAAAACATTAAAAAAGAATGCAAATAAATATTAAAATAATAATAATAATAATATAATATTAAAATAATATAATAAAAAAATTTAAATAAAAATGCCCTCCCCTCACCCAGTTTACACACACACACACACACACTGCATTCATTCTATACACACACACACACTGCATTCATTCTATACACACACACACACACTGCATTCATTCTATACACACACACTGCATTCATTCTATACACACACACACTGCATTCATTCTATACACACACACACACACACACACTGCATTCATTCTATACACACACACACTGCATTCATTCTATACACACACACACAGCATTCATTCTATACACACACACACACACACACTGCATTCATTCTATACACACACACTCTGCATTCATTCTATACACACACACACACACACTGCATTCATTCTATACACACACACACACACACACTGCATTCATTCTATACACACACACTCTGCATTCATTCTATACACACACTGTAAATAAATATTCAATTAATGTAATTTTATTGGGATCTAATTTAATTTAGAAATTTACCAGTAGCTGCTGCATTTCCCACCCTAGGCTTATACTCGAGTCAATAAGTTTTCCCAGTTTTTTTGTGGTAAAATTAGGGGCCTCGGCTTATATTCAGGTTGGCTTATACTCGAGTATATAAGGTACTCGTTTTCCCGGCACTATAGTTCCCTGAGGGTACCCCCACCCTCAGGGACCCCCTCCCGCCGGGCTGGATAGCGAGGAAAGTGTTAAATCTTACCTTTTTTCCCCAGCACCGGGAGGGGAGCTCTCCTCCTCCTCTCCTTCGGCTGAATGTGCATGCGCGGCAGGAGCTGCGCACGCATTCAGCCAGTCTCATAGGAAAGCATTCATTGAGACAGCCACTAGAGGCTTTAGAGGCTGGATTAACCCATTTATAAACATAGCAGTTTCTCTGAAACTGCTATGTTTATAAAAAAAAAAGGGTTAATCCTAGAGGGACCTGGCACCCAGACCACTTCATTAAGCTGAAGTGGTCTGGGTGCCTAGAGTGGTCCTTTAAAGGTAGAAAACTAGTGGCGTCTGTGTACTATACAAAATCAGTCTGCCAGAGTGACACACACCACTGAATTAGTGACGCTTAATCACATTGCGTGATGTCAGACACATTTACAAGCACCCTGCGCAGTGTGTTACAGGCACTGTGATATAAACGTTGTTGCCTTGTGCGTGATTAAGCAGGAAGAACAGCCAATGACAGCTTCTCACAATACCAATCAGCACCAAAAAGCAATTTACAATAAAAAAGTTTGCTGTTTACATTTGTTACTAAAGGGTTTAAAAGAGAACATACCTGTGCATGAAAGTTAGCAATGGTTGTCGTCTCGATATCTTTCTTGCCCAGGATCTCCATTTTCACAGGAGTGTTTGGAAAATTAAAAGCAAAGTAATCCAGAAAGTCTGGTAAATATGCTGCAGCTCCATGAACAATAGCCAGCGCATAATATGCAGCATTTTTATCCTTCTCTCCAAAAGTCCGTTCCAGGAACTCCTCAGCAAACCTCTCCATCTCCACAGGAGATAAAAAGGAGAGTTCATCCATGTAAGCATGCAAAACAGGGGCACCCCCATTTGATTGATTCTCTTCGTGCATTAATCTGCTGAACTTGGACCCTGTATGTAATGTGCTGGTACGGATGCAGTGCTCTTGATGAGAAGCAAAGGGCATCTGAACTTCCTGTGGAACTCTGTATTCTTCAGTACCCAAGTCAGAGCGACATAGCTTCTCATCCTGCAAGTATCTGCATGACTCCTTATTTTCTTCCACCCGACTACCCTCTTGATCCAATGTTTCCTGGTTAATACGGGTCAGTCCAGCACAAAGAGTCTGAACCTCCTTGTTGTACATTTTCAGCCGCCTTCCACGCAGATCATCTCTGTGCTTCTTTTTCTTTTTTTTCTTGATCTTCTTGAGAAGAAATGCATCATCTTCATCCTTAATCACACGCTGGGATTTGCCATTCTCATCTGATATCTCTGTGGATGTAACAGAATTTAAATTGGTCAATACCGAGAAGTGTACTTGTTATCCACGTAGTTAAAATACATTAAAAGAACACAATTCTGTTGGAGTAGCAGTTTAGGTACCTGGCCCCCACTCAGATTGGACATAAATGGTATTTTACTTACCCACCTCCATGTCTGAGATCAGTCTTAATGATATCCATGAATGTGTTAATCAGCATCTCCTCATAAATATGCATTGAATCAATGTGGAGACACAATGTAGGTGCCGCACACAGTGCAGCACTGAAACTGGAAGCAATTCTAGTGGTCGTATGAGTGACTGCACCTAGAGGGGTTACTAAGCTGTAGCGGTTCTGATGGCTATATTGTTCCTTTAAAGGGACACAACGTAGGCACTGTATCTGCTTAATCTCATTAAACTGGTTATAGTGTCTGGAGTACTCTGGTACCATCATTTCTTTCAGCATTAAACAGTTTTTAAACGTTTAATGTTTTAATGCTAAACAAGAGTCCCCGGCAATCCATCCCCTCTGTGCTGCTTTGGCCAATAAGGAAGTATTAGCCTGAGCAGCAATTGGCAACTGTGATTGGCTGAGAGTGTCCGCTGACTGCTTTTAGCCTGTCAGAGTTCCAACTGACGGTGTGAATGGGTATGACAACAAGGAAGTGTGTAATCTCGGCCTTCGCTACACATACTGAAGGGGCCGGGCTGTGGGTGGCCAGTGATTCTTATTTTGTGGCATACTGCACGAACATGGTGCAACACTGAATGGAGGGACAGTGCCAGGCCACTCCAGGCACTATAACCAATTCAAAGAGATTAAATGCTTATAGTGACTACAGTGTCCCTTTAAGTGCTGTATGTAGATGAGCCAATTTACAAGTTTTAAAAGAATCAGGCATCAAAACCACTACATAGTTCCCTTACATTAAAGTTGATTCTCATAAAGAAGAAGAATTCTTAAAAAAGTAGAGTTGAACACTATATCGTTTAACAAGTCCACTGAAAGTATGCAATATAAAAGGAATTATCACCATTGATGGCCTATGAGGAGAAATTTTATTCAGCACGTTTTTCATACTTAAAGGATCACTATAGGGTCAGGAACACAAACATGTATTCCTGACCGTATAGTGTTAAGTGTTTATTGAAAGTAAATCTCCCCTCAGAAACATTCCACTTGAAATCCTATATTGCACAGCAATTAATCCTGGCTTGAACAGAAGAGACCCAGATTGTAGCAAGCTGTGTTTTATTACAAAACAATAAAAACACAAAATATTGTAAAGTAGAAAGCAAGTTTAATGATTTCATGCACGCACTCTAGCATAAAAGGACAATAAGTACCAAACCATTGCATGTTAATGTAGTGGTTTTTGTGCATATATACACCGCCTCTTTAATAAGAGATTATAAGTAGATATTTGGAAAAAAGGCAGTTATTACATTTGGCTAGCATACCTCTAGTGCAGGGATAGGCAACCTTCGGCACTCCAGATGTTGTGGACTAAATCCCTCCATAATGCTGGCAAAGCATCATGGGAGGTAGTCCAAAACATCTGGAGTGCCGAAGGTGGTCTAGTGCCTGCTCTAGTGACCGTCAGCCGCTAAAGGCACTTGCTCCTTAGAACTCTAGTGGATTCAAAGGCTTCTATATGAGAAGCAACTGGATTGGTGGAGAATTGCAAGTTCCAAATATGTACTATTCTTCCACAATGCTTCTCCTACTGAAGACCCATGTACACAACGCATAGGAACCTTCACTGTTGTCCCACCTGGCATGTGGTCACTGATATATTACTTGTTGCCATTTTTCTTTAGGGGATTCCATCTTGGACCCAATAAACATGCTGGGTTGCCCGTCTCTGGTTGCACATGTGCCCGATTGGAAACTTCCATCTTTGGCAATCAAATCACTGGTTCCCAGACAGATCATTCCCAACAATGGGTACAGACGATGATTCCTGTCCAGTAGACGCTTTTTGTATAATTTCTATTATACTATCTATAGACATGTGCATGTAAATTCCATGCCTGTTTGCCGTTCTGATGACCGGACACCAGCTGATTAGTGGATGAACGGTCCGGTCCATTCCCCTTGCGTGATCACTCTTTTGCGGTATTTGCATAGCTATTGAAAGGATTGTGACATCTATGGACATTCATCTCTTGATGAAACTCCATAGTGCGCTGAAACGTTTGGATTTGCTCCCTGTCATTTTCTCAAATGTATTATTGCTCTGAAATCAGCTGAATTAGTGGTATTGAGTATACGTATCCTGTAATCCTGATATAAAAATAAATGTTTTATTTTTTTTTTAAAGTGTGTATGTATGTATGTATGTATGTATATATATATATATATATATTTTTTTTTTTTTTAATTTTTTTTATTTCTTGGTCTTTGACAAGTGGCTCTAGTTTAAGGCACTTTTACTCTGTATGTCATACATGGTGGTGTTTTTTTTTTACATTATGTACTTAAAGAGTAATTATCTTTCTAGGTATGGGAGCACTTTTGGAGATAGATCTATATTTTTCCTTACCACTAGAGGGAGTGATATTCCATTAATCTGCATCTAGTTCTATTTCTCGAGTCAAGTCCATTTATTTGGGTGCAGCTCCATACCAATGTTCTTATGCTTTGACAAATAATTACAAGAGCCAGTCTGAGCACCGTAAATACTTTGTATTACTACAAAGACAACCAACCAGGTTTTCATTCAGTCAGCCCATCAGTTTTGATTGCACTTTTGAGAATTTACATGTTAATTAGGGAAGACTAGGGGGGTGGGGGGAGGAAAAGGGAGAAGATTGGGGGGAAAGGAAGACTGGGGGAAAGAAAGAGGAGAGACTAAGGGAGACCTGGGGGGAAGACATGGGGGAAGGGAAGACTGGGGAAAGGGAAGGAAGGAAGGCTGGGGGAAGGAAGACTAGGGGAAGAAGACTAGGGGGGGGGAAGGGAAATATATCTATATAATTTTTTTAAAATATTTTTATTTATATATAGGTATATATATATATATTGATATATTTATCTATATACATAAATATATACGTATATATTATTTCGTTCTACGTGTATTTTGAGATATAGAGATATATATATATATAAATTTCACAATACAGTTAGAACGAAATAACACATCTATATATTATTTTTTTAACGTATTTACATATATATATTTTTTATAATATATAAATATATATAACAATAATTATATATATTTAATCAGTATCAGTCTACGTGTAATTTGATATATAGATATATATATATATATATAAATAATCTAAGTATATATTATTTTTTATATTTTTTTTACACTTTTAACTTATTTTAATTTTATTTTCACCTGTCATTACAGGCAGCCCCCCTGCTGGCAATACAGAAGCCAGCTATCCCCGGCCATGTGATTGTGGGGTCCTCGCAAGGACCCCACTCTCACACGGCCGGGGGGCTTCGTGGAGGACGGACGTGCCGCGGGGGGCTCCCTGGGAGTCCCCCCCACCGCAATCGCCGGCGTGGGACCGCCGGCGACTGGGTAAGTACCGAAAGACCGGAGGGCGTACTATTACGCCCGGCGGCGTTTAGAGCCACCTATAATAGGGCATAATAGTACGCCCTCCGGTCTGAAGGGGTTAAGCTAAAGTTGTTTTGGTGACTATAGTGTCCCTTTAAAATTACAAGACAAAGTGTTTAAAAATCAGAAGGAAAAAAAAAAAAACTGAAAAAATATTCAAATCCACATTAAAATTTACTTTACTCCTTGTATTTTGTACCCTGTAGTTCGAAAAATACATGTGTTTTTCCCTTTTTTGTTGCATTATTCTGTAGAAAAAAAACAAACAAACTAATTTATGTAGGTCACATATAATTAGAGCCCTTTTTCAAAAAAAAAAAAAAAAGTGTTGGTGCATTAAATAGGAAATATGTTAATTGTGGTTGAACACACAGAGCAAAAGAAAACTATAGTGTTAAGAATACATAACTGGATTCCAAACACTAAAATGTCCTTCTGACTTCGCAGCCCCAACCCAGCCATGGAAGTAAAATAAACCTTTAATACCTGCCTAGTTCGAACCAAGAATTCCCTCTGCGCTGGGCCAGGCTCCTCAGCTGATGGGTAGATTATAATGCTCAGGCACACGTTAGCCTTTTCCCACAGGTAGCTATTGGGTCAATGCTTTCATATGGGGATTTAAAAAAAAAATGCTGATGTCCTCTGTGTTGCTTCACAGAGTTAATCTCCGTGAAACAGCAGGAAGTGCATCTAGTGGCTGTCTGGGAGTTTCTATGAAACTGCAATGGTTCACATTGCAGGGCATAGAAGACAGGGACACTGCACTCAGGCTAATTCAATGAGACAAAGTGGTCAGGGTGCAAATAGAGTCCCTTTAAGTGGAAAAACTTAAGCTTGGTCCTTAATGATTTAAGAGAACTGGTTTCCATTGCTGCTGTTGAAGTTTGCATCAGAGGCTTAGCATCAATGTGATCACACCAGGTACCCTGCATTCAATATGCAGGTTCAGTTGGCAGAAATTGTATGGTCTAAACTAAAAATTAAATCAAACTTTGAATGCAGATATGGAGCTGTGAGTTACCAATTAAAGTAAACATTTCAGTTTGCTTACATGGGGACAATAACAGAATTCTAGTTTTGGCCACAGGCAGTCCCGGTTTGTGTCAATTTGCTCAAACATTTTGGCAAAACCAGGGGCAGGTGCAAGAGGCATACTAACAATATAAGTAATGCTTAGAATGCCTCTTTAAATATGGCAACCTGGTCACCATCACATTTTAGGTTATGGCTTAAAATAAACAGACAGCGTGATAGAGCACACTGATACAAAACAAGCAGACTATACACATACGCAAACTCCCATTAAATTAATATATCCCTATCCTCTCTTGAGAAAGGCTTAGGCGGCATTGTCTCATTTGTCTAGCTCTCCTCTGAGTGTTCTGTGGTGTTAGTATGTTTTATAATGCCATGGTTTGTATATTGGTTTCACTATTTTATACAAGAGAAATAATAAAACTTAGTATTCTGGGTTGCTGTAGAGCAGAGTTTCCCAATTGGTGTTCCGCAAGAACACAAATGGGGTTTCATCAAAATTTCAGAAAACAAAATGGCCGCTGCGATAACTGAGGTGGGCAGCGAGGGAGCTAAGCAGGGGAGGGTACTCCTTCGTCAACCGCCCGCCTCAATTATCACGGCAGTCATTATTGCGGCGCACACAGCAGTGATGCCAGAGCATGACGTCACTCCGGCATCACCAAAAGGCGTGCGAGGGAGCTGAGCAAAGGTAGAGAGTCTGCGTGGAGTGAAAAAAAAAAAAAAAAATGTAAATTAAAAATGTTAAAAAAAAGTGTGTGTCTGTTAATGAGTTTGTATGTCTGTGTCAGTGAGTGTATGTATGTATGATTGTCAGTGAGAATGTATGTGTCCGTATGTGTGTCTGTCAAAGAGTATGTGTGTCTAGGTTGGTGTAGGTGTCACTGTGTGTATCTGAGTGTGCGCCAGTGTGTTTGTATGTGCGTGTGTGCAAATGTCACTGTGTGAATCTGTGTGTATGTGTCAGATGCACAGATCCACACTGACACACTGTGTGTCAAGGTGTGTGGATCTGTGTGTTACTGTGTGTGTCAGATTCATACACACCTAGATGCACACACACGCGCACACACACACACACCTCTATTTGCTGTCTGTATCCAGATACGATTCTGTCAGGTTTAAAAATCAATTCTTAGAAATCAGATAAATAGCAGCATATTAAGACAGGGGAGGTGGGAACAAACAAACAAAAAACACAAGTATTGCAGTAACCAAAGCCTTTTAAACTCCTTGCACAACGAAATAAGACACCTATAGGCAGTCTCTCGCTTTATCAGCTCCAATACTTCCATCCACCTGCTCCTGGCTATTTCCACTGTCAGAGTGCTGCAACTTTATTTCCATAAACATCAGCTCCATATCACAACAACTCCCAGTTATTCATAACAATAACCGAGAAATAAAGATACACCATCCCCCCCCTTCTCAGCCACAATACACAGTGACCACCATCAGTGGGTCCTCTATAACCAATTATTACACCGTGTCCAATACTGAGCTCCTCTGCTCCCTTCTACCCGGGATAGCATGCTCCCAATCTCCTGTCACATGCCAGGGGCCTGCCAGTCACTGAGGGCTAGCTACTGGCACTTCCCATGATGCTCAGCATGCCGTATGGCACAGGTCACACCACAAACCATTACTCTCACCCCCAGATATGATCACTGTCTGACCTTCTTTGACAGCTTTCAGAGGAGCCTCTTCCTCTCCTCCCCCATTCTCTTTCTTCACCCGGTGCTTTCTCTTGATCTTCTCCCTAGGCCTCTCCAGCTGGGACAGAGTGAACAAGGCCTGGCTGATGGTGGGCACAGGCTGGGCAGGCTGAGGAGGGCCGCTGGGAGGGGGTGGTGGTCGCAGCAGCAGCTCCTCTTTGCCATGGTGGTGGTGATGGTGTCTGTGGTGATGGTGGTGGTGATGGTGACAGCTGTGATGGGTGTCATTGCCAAGCTTCCTCCTCTTGGCTTCCTTCTCCGTGTCCTCTCTCCCTCCACCGCGGCCGCTGCCTCCTCCATCACCGTCTCCTTTCTTCTTTCGCTTCTTCTCCGACGATGGAGAACCCTCCCTCCGCTTCTTCTTGCGTCCTCCCTTAGCTTTGTCCCTCTCCTCAGCGAACGGACCCAGCTGCGCGGCCATTTCCCCCAACGAACGACTTTTAAATGGCTCAACGGCTGCCAGTGCGCATGATCCCACGCGCTGAGGCCTGTGGGGGATGTAGTGCCGCGCGCTCGCACTCCCCGTGAGCTCGCGGGAGGCAGTTGGCGTATGCGCCCTGCGGCCAGTGTGTGCCTGGGAGATGAGGGCGGACTGATCCTCGATCTCAGTGCGTGCCTGGGTGCACGGAGCTCGTGACGTCATTGGGCTGGGGTTAACCCTTTCAGTCACAGTGGATAAATACAGAAATTAGAAAAAATTATATTGCACAAAATGGTTTGGTTTAAAAATAAATAAATAAACAAACATTTTGTAAATAGCAAACGGGAAACTGATTTCCTGGATTGAAGTAAAGAAAACAATTGGCTTTTATTTTTGTGAGAAAGAAAACGTGGAGCTTCCCTGTTATCTGCCCCCCACTATTGATTATATTTCTTAGGGTTACAATAATAATGGAGTGATGCTAATGGCTAAATGGTATTAAAACTGTTAAAATAAAAAATATTTAAAAGAAAATTAGAGTTAAGAACTAATTTTTCCTCACTCAGTTATTATTCTAACCCCATAAATAGTGGAGGAGGGGGGGATAACAAGAAAGGTCTGAAAACTTTTTTGTGAAAAAGCAGCATTGTTTACATTAGTCAGAATGCTTCTAGTGGCTGTGAAATAGTTAGCAAGACTTCAATAATGGAAATCCTCAAATGAACACTGCCCAAATACAAAATATGTAAAAATCACTGTTTAGTAGATATACCCCGGTGAAAGCTTTCATGTTTTTCATTATACTTTTTTTCATTGGGGGTAGAACTAATATTTTGCAAAACCTGCAAATCTCTTGTCTGCTGCCTTTGCCATCCCTCCCCTTCTAACCCCGCCCAGACTTTCTGTGACTATCCAATCACAGACTTCCAATGCAGCTCAATACAGCTCAAGGCTCTGAGCAATTGCTGCCTATTGAGTTTAGCTCCATTGAGGTAAACAAACCAGGAAGCTCCAGATCTGTTGTCTGATTGACAGCTAGGGGGTGTAACCAGGTTAATTTATAAAAGTGCCAATTTCTATTGAACTTTCGACGTTTTATAAAATAAAAAAAGGAGGACACACTCCACACATTAAAGGGACTCTCCAGTGCCAGGAAAACAGTTTTGTTTTCCTGGCACTGCAGGTCCCCTCTCCCTCCCATCGCAAGTTGTTGAAGGGGTTAAAACCCCTTCAGTGACTTACCTGTATCGATGTCCCTCAGCGCTGGGTCAGGGTCTGCCCACGCTCCTCCCCCGCCGACGTCATCCGGTGGGGGAGACCTATTGAGCATGCATGGTTGTTGGCGGGGGGGAGACCTAATGCACATGCGCGGCAATGCTGCACACGCGCATTAGACCTCCCCAATATTCCTTTTCCTCTATCTGACCACCATCTGCTGACTTTTGACATTGGCATACCTAAGACCCAATTGACACCACCATCTGAACATCACTCTCACAGAAACCTCCAATGTCTTGACCTAGAGCATTTCTCCACTAATCTCCAAATTCTCCTTTTATCTATCTCAAACCTCACCTGTCCTAGTTCTGCAACCTCCTTCTACAATTCCACCCTCTCCTCTCAACTAGACATCAGGGCACCTTGTACATTTAACCCCTTCAGACAGAAGGGCGTACTGTTACGCCCTATTTTAGGCGTCTCTAAACGCCGCCGAGCGTAATAGTACACCCTCCGTTTTTTGTTTTTTTACTTACTCCCAGGGAGCCCCCCGCAGCACATCCGTCCTCCTGCAGCGCCCCCCCGGCCATGTGAGAGTGAGGTCCTTGCAAGGACCTCACAATCACATGGCCGGGTTAGCTGGCTGCTGCATTGCCAGCAGGGGGACTGCCTGTAATGACAGTCCCCCTGCTGGCTGGAAATAAAATAAATTAAAGTTAAATCAGTGTAAAAAAAAAAAATAATAATATAGAAACATAGAAACATAGAATGTGACGGCAGATAAGAAACATTCGGCCCATCTAGTCTGCCCAATTTTCTAAATACTTTCATTAGTCCCTGGCCTTATCTTATAGTTAGGATAGCCTTATGCCTATCACACGCATGCTTAAACTCCTTTACTGTGTTAACCTCTACCACTTCAGCTGGAAGGCTATTCCATGCATCCACTACCCTCTCAGTAAAGTAATACTTCCTGATATTATTTTTAAACCTTTGTCCCTCTAATTTAAGACTATGTCCTCTTGTTGTGGTAGTTTTTCCTTCTTTTAAATATAGTCTCCTCCTTTACTGTGTTGATTCCCTTTATATATTTAAATGTTTATATCATATCCCCCCTGTCTCGTCTTTTCTCCAAGCTATACATGTTAAGATCCTTTAACCTTTCCTTGTAAGTTTTATCCTGCAATCCATGAACCAGTTTAGTAGCCCTTCTCTGAACGCTCTCTAAAGTATCAATATCCTTCTGAAAATACGGTCTCCAGTACTGTGTACAATACTCCAAGTGAGGTCTCACCAGTGTTCTATATATATATATATATATATATATATATATATATATATATATATATATATATATATATATATATATATTAATATCAAATTACACGTAGACTGATACTAATTAAATATATATAATATTAAAAAAATGTAAATACGTTAAAAAATAAAATAATTAAAAAATATAGAGATGTGTGTTATTTCGTTCTAACTGTATTGTGATATTAATATAAAAAAAGTCAATATAGAAGGAGCACTCACAGGTCTTCATATAAATATTGATTTATTCCAAGTTACATGTGCAATCGACGTTTCGACCCTCACAGGGTCTTCAAGATCGATATATATAATATTTATATTTAAACGCTGAGGATTGCACCCAGGCAGTGTTGCAGCTGTTGTTGGAAATATTAAGGGTTAGTGCCAAGAATTCTCTTCTTATGTGATATTAATATATATATATTTATATCAAAATACACGTAGAACGAAATAATATATATTTATATACATAAATATATATGTATATATCACTATATATATATATAAATATATATATATATATATATATATATATACACACACACACACACACACACACACCTATATATATAAATAAAAATATTTAAAAAAAATTATATATATATATATATATATATATACACATACACACATACGTATGTGTGTATATATATATATATTTATGTAATATTTTTACATAATTAGGTATCTTAATTACAATTAGCGGGAGGAGGAAAAGACACTTAAACAACTGATGAAACGAGATGACATGATAATTAGGGAAGCAGATAAAGGAGGGGGAATAGTGTTAATGACTACTACATATTATCTTCAAGAGGCAGCTCATATCTTGGGGGATAGAGACGCATATAGTAAACTTAAGGGTGATCCAACTAAGCAGTTCAATATAGAACTCCAAATTATTTTGGATGAAGCAAAAAAAAGGGGTACTATCTCACAGAAAAATTATGACTTTTTGTTTCAAAAAACCCTGATTATTCCAATATTTTACTTTCTCCCTAAGACACATAAGCGCCTCCCTAACCCCCCTGGACGACCCATTATCAGCGGTATTAATTCGCTGACCGCTAATTTATCTGCCTATGTTGATTATCATTTACATAAATACGCCCAAGGATCACCATCATACGTAAAGGATACTAAGTCCTTTCTCCAAGAAATGGAGAGTATTGAATGGGATCCAGAGTACAGTTGGGCCACACTTGATGTGACCTCTCTGTACACGGTTATCAGCCATAGTTTGGGTCAGGAGGCGATTGATTATTTCATGGAAAAAGATGTGGAATTACCAGCTGATTTCAAGGATTTTGTTTTTTCCTCTGTCCAATTTATTTTACACCACAATTATTTTTTCTTTGATGGGAATTATTTTTTGCAAATCACGGAGAACGCCATGGGGACCAGGTTCATCCCCAGTTATGCCAACATCTACATGAGGAGGTGGGAGGAGTTATTTGTGTGGTCGGGGCATGACTGGAGGGCGAACTTGGTCCTATGGCGGCGTTATATAGATGATGATATTATTTGGAAGGGGTCTTCCACCTTGTTCCAGGAATGTTAATTTTCTGAATACAAATGAGTACCATTTGGTTTTTATCCCCGTATGGAGCAAGGATGAGATCAATTTTCTTGATCTCACCCTGTCCCATGATTCGGGATATGTTAGGAGCAAATGTTTCTTCAAACCCACAGATGGGAATGGGTTTGTTCATCGTAAAAGTAGTCACCATTACCCTTGGCTTAAAGGAATTGCTAGAAGCCAATTTACCCGTCTGAGACGAAATTGTTCAGATATACAGGACTTCTACACCCAATCACCATATGTTAAAAGGAAACTTGTAGATAGAGGATATAACAGTAAGGAGTTAGAGAGAGAAATACGGGGGAATTGGTGATATAGAAAGGAAAACTCTTTTGGAGAATAAACTATGTCTCCCAGATACTAGGAATAATTTTCGTTCAGCATTTACCACTCATTTTAATATTGATCATAATAGAATTAATAAAGAGAAGTCTTCAAGGTTATTGGCCTATTATCCCATTTTGGGAGTACATTTACCAGACAATCCTACAGTTTTTTGTTTTTTTTGACAATCTTTATTTTTGTTTTTTGATGCCAAACAGTGATGTGGCAACATATAATGTATAATAGGCCTGTGAAACATTAGTTATGCATAACGTCTCATGGAAAACAACTTCAGCAAAACAGTGGTTGTATTTAGTGCAGCGATGTTGTGTTCTGTAAGTGACTAAGCTAGGAGCACTGTCCTTGGCATTAATGTGGCCTCGTGTAGCGTACCCTTTCTAAATGCCCCCTTCACTCGGAGTTAGTGTCATCTGCAATGTTGCCATCTCGAAAGGCTAGTGCTAGCTGAGTGTGCCCCTGCCCTACTACTTGTTGTAGTCTACAAGCTAGCGTGCGGTTAGCTGAGCCTATGCCCGCCTGTCCGTGCTCCTACATAATTTTTGTCTTGACTTGGGGCAGCGTGTGCGGAAAGTTGGGACTGACCCGTCTTGTTCCGTTAGGCATTTCGGGCTATACCGGCCTGCTCGAGGCAGCTGCGCCCTTTAGATGGGTATCTGGCCGACCAGGCGTGTCTCCGCCCTCATCGCTTCGGTGAGGTATATACGATCCCATGGGGGCCGACCCACTCAGTCAGTCAGAACCTGCGAGGCGTAGGGCCTGA